GGGTCCAGCGGCCTCACGGCCATGCTCGCGCAGTGACCTCCCCGGCGTGGCTGCGACGGAGGACACAGGCACGGCCCTGCTGCTGGTGGACACGGCCGGCTGCGGGCTGCTCGAGGTGGACCGGGAGGACGAGCAGTCCAAGGGGAACCCCGGTGAGTGGCTGGGGGGGCGGCTTGCCATTGCCGTTGGGCGCTGCGGGGAGTCTGGCCCAGTCGGCCTCGACGGGCCGTCCGGGAACAGGCCGCACAGCTCGGGCCGCGGTGGGCGCTTGTCCCTGGCCTTCTCTCTGCCCAGCTGGGCCAGGCTGCCAGGACTTGGCCACGGGCGAGGGCACGAGCCCCCCAGCCCAGCCCGCGCCCGGACGCCCCTGGCCAGCCTGACGCCACTGTCCACTCAGAGGCCTCACGCTTCCTGCAGGTGAAGTGCGCCTGGTCAGCCTGCACGTCCAGGCTCTGGTGGACGCCGGGGTCCCGGCAAGGGACATGGCCGTCATCACGCCGTACAACCTCCAGGTGTGGCCCCCGTCGCGGGTCGGGGACAGATGCGAAGCCGACGCAAGGGCTGGGGGTGGGCTTCGGACTCAGACCTCGGGGGGGCCGCCCCACCCGGGTCCCGCTTGAGCGGCCGTCTCGGGAGAGCCTGTCCGTCCCTCGGCCCCGTCTCGGCGCCCGGCCGAGCCCTGCCCACCCGACGCCCGGCCGGGACTGCGTCCCTGGGACGCCTGCGGGCCTGAGCTGCCGGCTCCCGCACCCTGGCCCTGGGCCGCTCTGAGCAGGCCAGTCCTGCCCCTCTGGGCTGCGGTGGCGGCCAGGGCCTGTGCTGCCCTCGCCGCAGTCTCTCCCGCTTCTCCGTGCCCATGTGCTCGCCGGGCAGGGCCATGTGCTCGGGCAGGAAGGCTCTGCCCAGCGTGCAGGGAGGGCCGAGCGTGCCGCACCTGCGGGGCCCGCGGGGGCTGTCGCTAGCCCAGGGGAGCGGTCAGCTGTCCAGGAGGGGCCCAGGCCTGTGAGCACGTGGTCACGGTGTTGCAGGTGGACCTGCTGAGGCAGAGCCTGGCGCACAGGCACCCTGAGCTGGAGATCAAGTCCGTGGACGGCTTCCAGGGCCGCGAGAAGGAGGCCGTGGTCCTGTCCCTCGTCAGGTCCAACAGGAAAGGTGCGCGGCCACGGGCGTCAGGCCGTGGGTGCCCGGCCTCGTGGTGCTGGGTGGGGACACTGCCCCTGGAGGAGACTGGGGGGCCGGCGCAGCAGCCCCAGACACGCCAGAGGGAGGGAGTGGGCGGGAGGCCCGGCAGGGGGCAGAGTGGAGGCAGTGGCCAGGGGGGTGTCTGGGACACCGCTGGCCAGGAGGTGGCGCCCAGAGCGCCCCTTGCCCTCAGGGCACTGCTTGGGCTGTGTTCTCTTGGAGGAGGTGGGTGGCCCCCTGCCCACCCTCCCCACCCATCCCCATGACCCCTCATCCCCTCTGGCTTCTCCGGGGCTGGCTGCGGTGTGGGCGACGCCCTGAGCAGCCATGGGGACTCCGGCGTGTTGGGGAGATGGGCTGGGAGACCCTGGCCTCAGGCCTGCCTCCCCCAGGCGAGGTGGGCTTCCTGGCCGAGGACCGGCGCATCAACGTGGCGGTGACCCGCGCGCGGCGGCAGGTGGCCGTCGTCTGCGACTCGCGCACGGTCGGCGGCCACGCC